CACCAACTAGCCTGCTACCTCAAACCAGATGATTACGGCAATATACAGGTACCTGATGATGACAAAACCTTGTCGAAACGTTGTAGATTTTCTTCATTTCCCATTCAAGCCGTCTCCAGCCATTATTAGTCTCAAAGTGGGTTCCTCGTCATCAAACTTCTCTACTCTTCCACTTTTCATGTGACTTATATCAGAGCAGTCCTAAGTGGTGGCTAGAAAGGCATCCAGCGTCAGAATGAAAAGCATTTTCTTCTGTTTGTTAGTGGAAAATTCTCAGTGGAAAAATCAATAAATAAGTAGAGATTGAACATACTTCTGGGGTTAAAATCCCCCTCATCCTAAATTTGAAAAGACTGGCCTAGTCAGAAGGTACCCAAAGAGAATCAACAAAAATCAGGCGATCATCAACTTAAGGACAGTGCAATTGGAACACCATGTAAGGCTGTACGATAATGGTGAAAAATTAAACTGCATGGTTTACTCATCCTAGCTATGAAACATCAATTGGAGAATGGTCATCATGTCTACAATATTTCAAAGTGATATGCAAAGATGTGTATATTAAGGTGGGAAAAGGTAACACTGATACATCATGATGGCAGATGATGTCTGCTACCAGATTGCATCCTCTGGCTACTTCCAAAGAGCATCACCCTTTATCTCTTTCAGCACGGGCTTGGTTATAGTTTTCATGCAATAACTTAAATTAGCAAGTAAATGTTAACAAAATTTGACAAATTAGCAGTAAACATTACAATGCTTTCATACACAAAATATAAAATTTTTAATTAAGTCTTAAGGTTTATAAAGGTTATCATTTTCCTAAACTGAAAATGTATTTCCAAAGATACTGACCTCCGGTGACATTAATAGCTATTTCTCGATCTTCGTCTTTGCCATCTAACGTTGTGTTCGCTTGCTCTAGTCTTTATATACCCCAATCGACTGTCTCCGGCAATATCTAACTTGCAAAACTTTACGCCAGCCCTCACACACCCTCTATGCAAGTACTGTATATAAGCACTGTATGCAGACAATAAAATCACTTTTTTGAGATTTACCACATTCTGGTCACCAACACCAACTCTGAGTGGGGAGCAAGGGAGAGAAAGTGTCAGAGGAGGTAAGTATGTTTGGAAATTCTTTTTAAGTTTAGGAAAATGATAACTTCCAAAATATACATACCTCCATTGACACTAATAGCTAGAATCCCACACTGAGAAGGTGGAGGAGCCGGTGAGGACACAGATCATACAGAAAGCATCTGCAGAGAACAAATACTTACCACAAAATGTGGTATTAAAGTGGGGAACACTGCACTACATCCAGAACAGGTATTCTCTTCACCCAGAACTACAGAAAATTGAAAAGGGTGGAATATAATACAAGTATGATGGTCCAGCCCAAACCAAACAGCCGAGGTTCCACAACTCGGGTTGGATTTAAGGGATCATGGTACCCATATCCCACGTTGGTGGCCAAGGCAGTTGGACACAGATATATATATATATATATATATATCTTTGTGATAGGATCCCTACCAGTAACCACAGAATGATGCATTTCAAACCCCCGGATTTATAAAAGAAAGAAAGCAACACCAAAGTGGACAATCCTTCTGATCAACCTGAAAAAGTCCAAAAGGCAACTTCCCAGGTCTGGATTTAGGGGAACATATGCCATACTCCATCAAAGTCCAAAACTCATCCAGTCTGGATTTACAAACAGCTGTCTCTACTCCTCCACCAAGATGGCAAGGATAATTCCGCCTACCCATGGAATTATGGAGAGGATGTGAAACACTGTCCCACCAACGACTAAAGATGGAACCACGTCACAATCGGATTTACGAGGAGATAGTGGACCCCCTGCATAAACAAGATAAGACCTGACAGTGTTCATAATAAGATCCAAGCCCCCCACCCTCCTACCAACATCTGGGAAAGAACTTCCAGGGACCCCGGTAGGAGGTCCCCTAACTTTGCCCTCTTCTCCGAGAGTAGATAAAACTCAACACTCCAAAGGAAAATCATCTGTCCACCACCCCAGCGACTGGGAACTGGGTGTGGTAAGGACTACCGAGCTCTACTAGTAAAAGTAAGGGGGAACATAAGCATTGGGGAGACCTGAGGAACAGGTCTCTGGAGACAGTGCAACAGGTGAACCAAGTTCCCTAATTTTTAAAAGCAAACTGATCTCAACTGATTCAGTCCTAAGATCAGCAGGGACTGGCAAAATCCCCTTTAGCTTTACTCATTGTAGTCCATGAGTAGCAGTCTTTTAAGAATATTGTAACAACATATCACCATCCAGAATTGTGTCTAGATGGAGTTATGGAACACCTCATCTCGACAGAGCCCATTGCAACCAGGAACTGATATAAAGGTTGCTAGTGTGTAATTTAAATACAAGCATACCCAACTGGGCAACACTCGCCACTGAGTGGGATCTAAAAGAAATCAATAGGGACCCTAGAAGAGAAAAGAATAATAACTGTAAGTCAAATAACACATTACTCACCTCCCTTTTAAAATCTAGTAGAGATAGTCAACACAGCCACAGGAGGAAGACAAAATCCCATTGAAGAGGAAACTGCCAGATCATGAAGGTAATGTGATATGAACGTGTTGGGAGAAGTCCTCATACTGGCCTGTAAAATATCTTCTAGTTTAACTGGGCAGCCAAAGACATAGAGAGGTGTTAAATTTGGTGAGAGGTGATGTGGAGCATATTGCGATTGTTAACAGATAAGCCCAATTATGCAATATGGATCAACTTCTGAAGCCATCTGGTTAAAGTAACAGGTGATAAATCCCTGGACACTGCAAGATCCCAATGAATAAAAAGTCTGTTTCTAGGGCCTTAAAATGGTTCCATAAGAGCCACGTAACCTCTGAGCACCCTAACGGGACATAACAAACGATCCAGGTTTGATCTACTGTAAAGATGAGAAATGCCAGGTAAATGAATAAGAAAAACAGATTTGTTTCCTTCTCTGGCAGCAAGAGTTTTGGGAATAAATGATTGGTTGGGATAAAGCAAAACATAGGTAGAATGATAGAGTCTGCTGAACATGAATGGCAAATAAATCAGAATGACGGCATCCAGAAGCTAACAGCAATAAAAAATAAACTATGAGGGAAAGGTGATATAATGAACAGGAGGCCATGGATTCAAAGGGATGACGTGATAAAGCATGTAAAACAACTCTAAAGTCCCAATTAGGCAGAAAGTGGCTGTTCAGATGAGTCCTCAGGAGAGGAAGCTCTAGTGAAAGAAGGAGCAGGAAACTGGGAGTCTAAATTCTCCCGAGAATATCCTGTTTCAGAATGCAAATTCAAATCAGCACCTTCCGGAGAGATACCCCCAGGCCACATGAAGGACTCCATCTTGCCCCGAATCAGATCATGGACAGTTTCCATAGATAATGCCCCCCCCCTCCGACTGCTGACAACCACTAGAAAAAAAACAAAAACAAATTCAATGAAATATATTTCTGGATAACAAACAAAGAATTCCCAATTATTAGAAAGTGCAAAATAAAAAATGTAAATCACAAAATGTTAGTCTGAACATTTGTGCTTTGTTGAGAAAAAGTGATTTTATTGTCTGCATACAGTGCTTATATACAGTACCTGCATAGAGGGTGTATGAGGGCCAGCGTAAAGTTTTGCAAGTTAGATATTGCTGAGGGCAATCGAGCGGGGTATATAAAGACTGGAGCAAGTGAACACAACATTAGATGGCAAAGATGAAGATTGAGAAATAGATATTAATGTCAGCAGAGGTATGTATGTATGTTTTGGAATTACAAATTTAATATTAAGGATAATACAGAGTGCCTGAAACATCTGGAACCATTGATGATTTGCAGCTTTTCATAATTTCAGATACTTGACTGATTACAACACTGTCAAAGCATTAGAAGGTGGCAAGGATTTTGGTCTCTGCAGAAAGTTGCTGCCAAATTTAATGCATACCAACCAAAGAGAGAGAAAAGCATCACTCACAGTGCTGTTGGGAAAGTGCTAGCTATGTTTAAGGAGACTAGCAGTGTGGATGACATGAATATGCTTCAGTGTTCAAAGAGAATGCAAATACCATCACCAAACTTGAAGTATAAGGACAACATGTGAATACATTCTGTAAAATTTGTTGAAGAACCTATGGTTCCAAACTTTTCAGACACCTTGTAAGTAAAAGCTGTAGAAGCAAAAATATATACTTATTTTTTAGCAGAATTATTTTTTATTAGTTATAGACCTATGCATGATTTGCATGGTGATAGTTATTACTTTAAATTGGTTTTAAGTTTTAATTTTGATTAGATGTATAGATGGGCCACATTTTAATTTGTTGCTTAGACTGAAGAGGTGACCTTGATATGCCAAATGGCCTTCTGTCATTTTGGTGATAGTTATTGTTTGATACTTTCATGAAAATTACAATTAACAATCAAAAGGATATTTTCCTGGAATGTAAAATGTAACTGATATTTTTTTTATTATTGCACTTCAACCTATTGCATTAATTATACGTAAAATAAATGTATATGTGCACCTATGTACATATGCAATATATATAAAAACACATGTTGTAAAATAATACTGAAAGGACTTTTCAAAGAAAATCTGACCAAGACTAGACAACTTTAATACAACAACAACAACAGAAACAAGATAGGGATTAATACACATAAGTAGCCAAATCTTTCAAAGAATACCTTTTACCTGCAACTAAATGTTGAATTCCTGTCAAATGCATGAATTCAGGTTCGAATAAACACATTTAAACTGAACAATGCTATACAGCCTTACAGGGGCTAATAACCATAAGCTTGTAAGATTGACTCAGTACTTACTGGCTACTTATGTAGGAATTTTTGTAAGGTATTGTGTATTCATTCCTACCTTGTTTCTGTACTTTTTGGCATTGCCATCCCTACATCATAATTAATTTTTGCAAAATTTCTTTTATTACTTGCTTCCCTTCTTTTCTTAAACAATTGAATTGACATAGGTTGATAAGTAAACATTTGTTTTATTTCTATAATTCCATGGTAATATGTATTGTTAATATCATATCAGTTTTGTCAGTTTCTCTAATTTTAAATTACACTGGGGGTCAATGAAGCTGGAATGATTCCAGGATGGTACATGTATCCTGGAGTGCTGTACTGACTTTAGGGGCATATTTACAGAACCCATGCCTTCCAACTTCACCCCAACTCACTGTATGTGAATACAATCGATTCCACCACAGGCTAGGGTCACATCATTTAATAGGGAGAACACAATATAGATTACAGGTATGAAGTATGATACCACATATACACACACACACAGAGCTACCAGGCTCAGCCCCACTGAAAATTGAAAAAAAAATAGACTGGTATATAGTGTATTGTTTTGATAATTAAGAAACTGGTGTTTTTAAAATTGGACATCAATAACATGTAAGTTCTTAAACTTATTTTTCTTAAAATATAGAACAGCATATAAAGAAGTAAAGCAAACAATTATCTTTTCTAGCTAAGATCTTTGTACTCGGTTGCTGCTTGACACAGATTGCTAAGCCTTTAAAAATTTTGCACGTGGAGGATATGAAACAAAATAATCTTTTTTAAGTTTCATATATACATTTGAATAATTAAAAAAATCATAAATTACTACATCATTACCATAGAATTCTACTACAATTTACCATGTTTTGTACCTAAGATTTATTTTAATCTAAAAAATATGAAATTTCAAGCAGACTAAAGACACACCCTACTTCCTTGAAATATTGATTAAAAAGAAATAAATGGTGTACAAGCAAGTTAAAATGATTGAGAAAGCAAGTGGGTGGAAATTTTGAGCTTCAGATTGGTTATTCATGTCATATATAGATGTAAGTGTATATAATGGAGCATTTCCAAAAATGGAAAGAGGTGGGCAGAGTGCCACTGTGTTTGATTTATTACATGGGCAATATCTTAGCAAACAGAAAAGATAAGACATTCTTATTTTATATTCTTGCTTGTCAATATCAGTAATATCAGTTTCTAATTTGTACAAAACTACAGACTTAGTATTTTGACTTCACAAACATCTAATTTGAACCAGTGCTGCATTCAACATACCACATGACACAAAGAAACTGATGTTTTTCTGTATTTTTTAATATTTACTTTTAATTAAGAAAGTGAGTAATGTATAGTACTACAATTTGAATTATAATCTACAGTTTGACACCAAACTTATTGATATAAATTCATGAAATAGTTGTTAAATAAAAGTTTGAATGGGAGTCAACAAATGAGATGACATGGCCTTTCACCCATAAACCGTCTCAAAAGAGTTAAGTCACAAATGGTCATTATATAAGAACATTTTGTCCTGCCATCTAGCGACCAGATATGAAACTGTTATTTATGAAACATGCAAATAATATATGCTTATAAACTGAACTCATTGTTAAATAGCAGTAGTTTTCCCTTTTTATTATTTCTGCAAAAAAAATACGTGTAGTAGAAAAACAGAATAATATTTCTGTTATACAAGCTGTGAAACACTTGATGATAGCAATTATGTGCTCAAATAAGGCTATAACTCAATTTTAGCAATAAGCATCACAGAGTAATAGATTGAATGTGGTGGTCATATTTTTCTCTGCCCATCCCTACATACTAAGCACTATAGTGCTTAGTGATAGCCTATTCCCAAGTGTGTTTAAAGCCATTGCAAAAACTTCACGTTTTTTTGGCTAGCATGCAAGAAGAAAAAAGAAAGATGAACACTTTTGCTCTTTAGCTAGTTCCCATTTCTCTACTTTAGCAAACCTTTTCAATGATATTTGGAGTCTCACAGGCTGTAAACACTCAATAATAACAATTAGGTGTTCAAATAAGGCTATACCTCAGCTTTAGCAGTTATTTGTAAGCATCATAGAGTAAAAGATTAAATGCGGCAGCCATTTTTTTCTCAGCCCAACCCTACATACTAAGCACTACTATGCTGGTGAGAAAAAGGTGTGTTGATGTTAATAATTTATTTCACATCTTACAAACGAAACCTCAGATTAAGCCCACATGATAACAGTAAAAAGCTTACAGAAGAAATTTTTGCATGAGCCCCCAAATTTTTTTTTTACCAATTTGTCAACTAGTTTGAAATAAGTCAGTGCTTATGATAAATTCCACAATATTTTAATATTCACAGATTCTTAATTAATATATATTGAATTTTATTAGTGATACTGCTACTCCTCTCCAAAAACATTAAGTTACCAATAACTAATTTTTAATGTAGATTCATTATCTAAAATGACACTGACATACTAAAACTTTAAAACCTCTTGGTATTAAAAGTTTCATAAACTTTTTAAACAATGGATATACATGTATTTATTTTCCTTGATTTCTAAAATACTGATAATGATATATAATTAAAACTTTCCAATTTTTACATAGATTTTTCATGCATTTCTTAATTATACAGAGCAAGGAAATTCCCAATAAACACTTTCTCTCAACTTGTTTTATGTTTGTATTGTAACTGTGATTTGTGTGTTTAAATAAGAATTATAGTTGTACATTTTTGTGTCTTAATTATTTCTTTAAAATCAACTTAGTCAAAGTACAAAGAGTAATAGATCCATGCTCTGTTACTTGATATCCATTGCTCTGTGGTAAATCAGTGTACTGGAATATACCACATTTCTATCACAATTACATCATATGTGTATATATCTACACCAATGGTTCCCAACTACCGATCCATGGACTGCTAACAGTCTACAAGGAGATTTTAGCCAGTCCACAAAATGGCTTAAAAGAAAAGCATGTTTTAAAATATAGTTCTGGAAGTATATTGTCTTACAAGATTTAAAATTTAAAAGTACTTCAAAAGGTTAATATTGTACTAGATGGTCTGTGAAATTGTTGGATCGAAACTAGGTGGCACTCATTTGAAAAATGGTTGGGAACCACTGGTCTACATAAGTCTAAAATACATATAAAATAACATTGAAACTTAAAGAGAAACTGCTTAGCTACATGAATCCTGAAACACAAGAACCTACTTTTGAGGAAGAACATACGGCTGTGGTTCCTTACTGCTATAGCTCTCAGATTTTCTGCTCCTATTAACATGAAAGTCATGAAATAAATAAATTAATGCAAATTAAACATGATGAAAAATTATATATATAATCTTATTAGTTTACATCATACATATTTACAGAAAAGTTAAAATCAACCATCAATGACACGGTGTTAAACAGATAAAGAAGATATGAAAAACTAATAAATGGCTTTTAAATTAAACTGGTTGAAGTAACACTGCAGGCTTTAAATAATAATAAACAAATCATTCAGGTCACTTTAAATTACAATAACAATAAAAGTATCATACATGTACAATTATTCAATTATTTCAAGGAACAATGAATTGTTTAGTAAACTAAGACACATAAAAGTTGCTAAAATTGTTTTATCTACGTACTCTTTTTTTTAAGTCCAGCTCCATTAATTTCACCTTTTTAATTGTTATTAGATCTAGGATTTGATTTAATTTTGAAGGTTAAACCTTAAAAAATTAGATAGTACAGTGGTATAACACATTTCTTTTGTTCTTTTCAGATGAAATGGCAGATAAAACAGTGGCACTGGTATTAGAGCAAAAGTGCAAAGATTATTGCTGTGTAAAGAAACTGGCATGACAAAAGCTACAACTGCTGAAAAGTGGGGACTAAACAAGGTGATGGTTTCACATATTTGGAAGAATTGTGAAGAACTGGAAACACTGTATACAACTCCTTGGGTCAATGAAACAAGCATGCCCCCCTCTCACATTTTAGACTAAGAAGAACACTAATGCTATTCCACCATTAGTGATAGCTTTCTAGAGATACTCTATAGATACTGTGTAGTTTGTTTTTTAAGTATGCTGTAATCCCACACCAATCTTCTGTAAATCAAATAAACTGGAAATCAGAGGCATCGCTAGGCATTGACACACGGGGCCTATGCCCCGAATCCCCAGTTGGTGTCTTGAAAAATCAAATAGAAAACCATGATCATTATCATACTGAAATGCCAAAAATTCCCAAGCCTATGGGCCTGAGCGCTGAGTCTTTTAAGCACCTAGTAACACCTCTGTTGATAATTAATGAAAACATGTTTTACTCTCAAGATAAGGTTAATACCGTTTTTATTTAAAACATGTCACGATTACAATTACAAATGTTTAAGTTGCCAGTTAGACTATTTATGTTAGTTGCTGGAATAGGAAAAGCATCAAAATGACATTCAATAAAGATCTGAGACCTCACAATATCTTGCATTTGTCTACCATATTCACTAAGCACTACTCTTAGCTGATTTGATGACAATTTTATTTGGTGAACATAATAAAAAGAATCTCATGTTTATAAACACTGCAACTCTTGTAATTTTACACAAAGAACCAAACATCAACAAGATACCTTTATGAAGCCACAAGCAATCTTCAATCATGTCACTTCTTTACTTAATACTTATATATATTCCTGTGTCCAGGTAAATAAGCTACTTAAATATGATGATGACAAAATATTCTCCACACATTGCACATTTGTTAATGAGTTAAACTTTTAATAGTTTTGTTAGCCATTCAACCCATCTCTAAACTGTATAAGATTACCTACCCTATCTCAATTTATCAGATATTTCCTCCATAAGGACAATTTCAGTAGCTTTCAAACAGGTATAATTTAACCCAAAAATACTTTCACAATTCACAATGAAAGGGTGTTTACAAAAAACTATAAAAGAACAACTCTTAGGCCTGTACATTTATTCTATTAATAGTCTGATTTTTGCTCTATCCAATCATATTTAAACTTTCTGTATTGTTGTTTTCAAAGCTGTGTTTTATTAGCAAATGATTAAACCACTTGATGTTGCACCATACCAAGGTTTCAACCAAGGCCTGTATGCAAAACTGAGAGAAACGCAATTGAAAATCAAGAAGTGGATAATACATTCTCATATTCTCATATAGTAAAATTAAAGTTATTATTTTAGATGGGCTGAAAAATTACAAAATAAAATTGACAAGTAGGTTGTTTTGTTTATAGAAAAAAAAATACGCTTTGCAACAATAATTGTTGTGGTATGAACTCCTTTTAGAAGTTGGCAAAGCATTATATAATCAGTCATGTATAATTGATTATATCATGCTTTGCCAGGTTATAAAAGGTGTTCACAGCATAACATTTGTTGTAACAAATGACCTATATAAATAGTATTCTGACCACTCCTGTGTTTGTTGTATCCCAGCTGGGCTTTGGATTGAGTGAAACTCAATGCCAGCAATGTGTATGATGAATATAGTGTAGTTGAAATACTATTATAGTGTTAAAATTATATATAATAGGCCTTACATAATATTTTAAGATAAGATATAATCAAAAACTCTTTGCAGCTGTGTAGAAATGAAAATATTAAATTTTTCTTCATGAATTACACCAAATAAGTGTAAGAGTATGATAAAATATAGATATTAAAAAGTTTTGAGTTAAAATTGTTTAAATACTTAGAATTATTTATCAATTTTTGAAAAAATATTTGGAAGAGGGTTTGACATGCTTGGATCCCTCCCCTAAACCCATGTCTACTTATACGTTAAAGAATACAGTTGTCTAATTATAAATTAGAAACATTACACAGTGTATAAAAATGATAAATTTACACTTAATTTAATACTTAAGAGAGTTGGCAGTGGGTGTTGTCAGCCAGTTGCCTTCCCTCTAGTTAGCAGTTCAAAATTAATTACAGTGGCAAAAAGCCTTAGAAGGTTTGCAATAAAAAAGACTGGATGAGTAAATTTAGTGACAAAAAATAACCAACAACTCTTATTTCGATTAGTTGATTACTTTCATGACAACTGATTTAATTGTAATTTCAAATAATCCATTGCTGGCAGTGGTGTAGTGGTAAAATTGTTTGTGCTGAAGCTCTCGCTAAATCCAAATCATTTTCCGTCCCTTGAATTATATATATGCACACACAGGCTGCATTTCAGGTATTTAATTTGTTTACAAGTACTCTGATTATCAGTTAACTTTAAAAAACCAACTAATATATCTGAGCCATAACAATACAACTGATAAATTATCTGCAGTTTATGTTGCATCTCCTCATCACAAAAGTTATATTATTTGTGTATATTTTCAAGTCATCATTTTAAACATGGATTTTATCATTTACAAATGTTTGAAACATGCAAGATAACACTATAATATAAAATAATATACTTCTACAGTTTAAGTTTATTCTACAAATGCATGTACTTTAATCACACACAACAAAAGTACAAGAGTGGTGTTCTGGTCCACTCCGGCTCCACTACACCAGATTGTTGGAATAATCAAAAACACTTAATTAATTGATTACTTTATGGATCATTAATCAATGTAATTTCTGCTTATAGGGAATCAATTAAATTGCCCAGCTCTAACAGTGATACACTACAGTCTTATAAAAATGAGGCGTGTGTGTGTATACATCAGTACCTCCTTGAAGTTTTGCAGCATGGAAATTGCTCAGATTACATCAGTTTCTGAGCGATGTTAGTCTATGGTAACTAATGTCTGATCTAGAAAGTTAGATGGTCTTCTTGGCCTGCTTATCATCAGTAGTATCAGTTTCACTTTATCTTTTGATTATTTTTTTAACTCCAATTTTTGATACCTTAATTTTTGATTAATATCACTATGAATTAATATTATGTGTATTGATTTTTTTTAATCCTTCACTTCATACATAATATAGGGGTTGGGTCCCTAAAGACACAGATTGTATAGTGTACAAAGCACTGAGTATCTATATGTTAAAATCATCTAATGTTCATCTATTATTTACTGTTAATTCTTTGTTCACTCTGTACTTAAGCTTTTTAAAGGAACAGCAGATATTAGTACTGAAGCTAACTTCAAGGGGTAATTATAACATCATCAAGAATTATGATGTTTGTTAGCTTATGTAAAGTATAGAAGAAACAAATTGACTTTTCAATAGCCCCTACAACCTTTGTAGCACCTTAATTAGTATTGTACAAAAATTTTGGGTGAAATATACCAAGCTCTTTTTGTTGTAGGCTGGCAAGAGAATAATACTAAGAAGAAGAATTACAAACAGGTCATTTTGAGCAGATTTTCTTTTTCTTGCAAGTCTAACATGCTTCTTTTTTTTGTGCATTTTTATATGTGTACAGCCTTAGCAGTCAATAGTAAAGTTTTTAAAGTGTTTTTTGAACTGAATCTTTACTGTTCAAGTTACTTATTTCCCTGAACATTCTATTATGGTTTTGTGCAATTCCTATTATGAACTACTGTCATGGTTCATTTTTAATGATCAAGGAAAAGTTATCTTTGCACTTTTAAAATAGAAAATTAATAACTGTGCATGGAATGTTATTTGATGTTGGACATAAGTGTGTGTGTGTGTGTGTGTGCATGTGTCTATATATATATAAATAGATAAATAGCTCTAATACTATAAATTACATTAATTATTTATAGGTGATTAAATCAGTATTATAAAACAATAATGAACTTAATATAAAACAAACATTACAATAGAACTGTAATTTATTTTACATTATCAGTCCTAGTTATTAACATTAAGTCATAACAGATAATGTCTGTTGTCATATATATATATATATATATATATATATATATGTATGTGTGTTTATACAGCAAGACTTGCCTGACTATCTGTCTGGTGTCACAAGTTGTGAGAAACTAGTTGAACCAAACTTAAAGAAGTTGCTAAAAAATTTCAATTGCACACATCAAAGATTGAGTTTAAATGGACAAACAATCACATAAACAGTTCATGTTTGAAAGTCATTACAATTTTACTGCTTTAATGTGGATTCTCTCTTTATGAAAAATTTTCTAGCAAATACAAACTGATTAACTTGATATGCTGGTAAGCTGCAATACACTTGTAACTATTATAAGAATCATTTAGTGAAGCAAGTTATCAAAATATTCTGACTTATGCTATTATTAATTTTAGACCATTTTTTAATTTATTAACATAAAATATGAAGAACAAAGGACTATTCTGCACTTCACTGCTGTCCTTACAC